CTAGAGTATAAGAAGGGCTGCTTCTTATGATTATAAGGGATGACAGCAGAATAACTTTGCTGCGCCAGGCTTACGAGAAGAGAAAATGTGGGTACTAGTCTAGTTACTAAGGTTAACTGTAACGGACTAGTACAAACTGGATGGAATAGAAGTAGTATGTAATGTAATGGAAGTGTAATGGAAGACTAGATTAATAACCCCACTCACTTATTGTACTGTTGTAAAATATGTAAGGCTAATGGGTTTGTATGGTAATCTCTGAGGAAGGAATCTTGGGAAAGACTCACTTCCTTAATTATTACAGAACAGTGATCAGACTGCCTGTAGGACTGGTACAGTCCCCATACTATTACATTATTTCTTTGGGGAGAAATGTCAAGTTATTCTATGAAGGTTAAAGTACATGTGAGGAAAATCTCTCTAATTTCAGAAGATACACACAAGAGAGATAAACTGGACTATCAGTATTTACAAGAGAGATACACAGGATAATAATCTCTTTGATAATCATAAGAGATAATTATCCTTTTCAACTTGAGTATAACTTTCAGGAAAGAGGTGAATTAATAAAGAGGTGAATCTTTATTAATTTACAGAATAATTATTAACATAAACAATACATGTAATAATAAATAATAGTAATGAATACTTGTCAATTTAAAAATTACATATAACAATATTTATTATGTAACCCAAGAGGGTTACATTCTTTTGTAGACACCTGGGCTAGTGTCTCAGTGTCTGAAAGTTATTGTCAGCCTCTGGGTAACTAACCTGAGTGTTTTATAGTAAAAGGTTGTTACTATGAGTTGACTGAAGTGTTTGAGCGTGGTGAGTGTTAGGTAGTGGGTGATTAATACCAGTCCTGTAAAGAGGAGGTTTCACTCTATCAGTATGGTCTTTACTGAGAGGCTTGCTATCAACAGCGCATCCGGATCAATACTAGGTATTAATAGGCATCCAGGGTACTAAGACTCACCTGGGATTGATTTGGTTATTCCCAAAAGGGAATGGGCTAACAATACTTATTAAGCTTTGACAAAATTAGTTGAAGACTAACAAATATTGTTGATGGGAATATTCAGCAAGGCTATGAATATTGTGGATAAGTTGAGTAAGTGTACTGAAGCTTAAGAACAATAAATGTAGACTAGATTTATGTTGGTTACGTGTACTGTATCAATATAAATGTTAACTGGTTTAACTGGTGTCCAAATATTCTGGGGATTAATCAGTGGAAGTGGCACGGATTATAAGTTCCAGAATATTACATGGGGAAATGAAGAAGTGCTCTGAATCACGGGTGAAAGTACCAAGGGGAAGAGCAGGGTTAATTGAGTAACTGATCTTTATTTGTAATGATCTGTTAAAGCTGTCACAGTATTTATTAGAGGATCAGTAACTAGTATTTGTGATGTGTACAGGTAACAGATCTTTTAAATAAAATAACAAATAAGGATCAGTACATGTATTGATTGTAGAGATTGTTCGTTTGGACCTGGGTACCTGTTTATACCTAGGTACCTGTTCATTTTTTCAAGAAAATAGATCCCATGTACCGCACCAGACACCTCCCGGGGGGTACCCAAGGTACCCGTTGCAGGTACCTCAGGTACCCCCCCTCTCTTTTTCACCTAGTTTCACTCCCAGAGTCTCAAGTCACTTTATTATTATTATTTTTTTTCATATTTATTGTAAAATATCACTCACAAGTCACTTTTTTGGCATTTTTTAATATCTGTTGTAATATATCTACATCTAATTGGAAGAATCTTACTTTTCTATTTTTTCATATTTATTGTAAAACATCAGTCCCAGATCACTTTTTTCATTTGTTCATATTTAATAATTTATTGAAAAGTTGAAACTATCTACAACTTATAACTAATTGGAAGAATCTTGATTGTCATCCAAAACCATCACCTTCCTTTTTGATTTTTTGTTAGACTTCTTGTTATCCCTGAGTCCCTGTTTCCATGCAGCCAAGGTAACTTCTTGGATCTTGGAGTTCTTGGAGTAGAAGGCCACCATCATTTTGATTTTTTGTAGGGAAGTGAGGGGGTACCTGTAGAGGTACCTAGGTACCTGTTCAATTTTTCACAAAAATAGGTACCAAGTACCGCACCTGGCACCTCCTGGAGGGTGTGGGGTGGGTGCGAGGGGTACCCCCCAGGAGGTACCAGGTACCTGCAAAAAGTACGGACGAACGATCTCTAATTGATTGTATTAATTCAAATGGTAATACAAAACAATACATGAACCTTTTATTTGTAATGATTCTTGTCCGTGATGACTTTGAGGACAAGGATAATTAAGAATGAAGTCATTATTAAGATCACACAATAAATAATGAGGTCATTATTAAAATCAGTACATGTATTGATTGTATTCATTCAATGATTAATTGATACTTAATATTCAAAGCATGTACATATTTATTTATAAAGATATTTGTCCGTGAGAATACTGTAGATCAGGGATGACTTGTGGTACAGGTATTTCATGGATAAAGGAGTGAAAGGTAAGTGGTAATTACTTATGTATAACAAAGGTATGTATAAAATAGATAAGTAATTAACAGATAAGATAAATATAAAATAAATGAGATAAGATAATAATAATGATAAGATAACAAGAGGTAAGGGTAAACAATATTATGGATATGTACTTATGTAAGTAAGTACAGGTGTTGCAGTTACTTGGTACATGAAAGGTACTGTGACATGTACTCTGTGGCTGACAGTTATACATCACCACATTGGGCAACTATGTTATTTGAATGATCCGCCAGACTATTTCTTCCCACTTAATTTTTGATGGTGATGTTGATAAACAGACAGGTGCCCAACTGAAGCCACACCCCCAATTCAAAGAAACTGGGTAAGAGCATCTCCCCCTGGGGAGCTAAACTGGGTTGCTATCCTGCGTGGGATGGCAGCACAAAGTTAATTTTTGACAACTCAAGCGGCCCTGGCAAACATCCTTGGTTGCTATAATACCTACCAGAGGCCTGTGAACGGGGGTGGGAGTGAAATGTGTGATGATTTGTCATCTGGGATTCACAAGGAATACACCAGAGGTGTCATTGGATTGGTAACTTTAACAGGTTCTGGTGAGTTGCTTGTGGTTTGCTGACTTTGGAAAGTTTGGCAACCGGATGACAATTTTTACCTCCTGAGGTAAAACAGAAACTCATTTCGCAACCCAGGTGGGTGATGAATTTCCCAGTTGGGTTGCTAAGCAAGCGACAGAAACCCAGTTTAGCTCCCCAGGTGAAGATGATCTAAAATCTCTCAAAATGAAAGGCAAAGAAGTTTGCTGAGTAGGGAAAAACTGGTGATAAGCATTTACATTAGGGTCTTAGCTAATCCACTCCCAAAAAGTGGAGGATTGACTCCCAAACCCCAAAACCCCCAAAATATCCACTGATTCCCCTGGGAAATGGGAGTCAATCCTTGTCAGCCACAGAGTACATGTCACAGTACCTTTCATGTACCAAGTAACTGCAACACCTGTACTTATCCATAATGTTGTTTACCTTTACCTCTTGTTATCTTATCATTAACTTATCTTATTTTATCTTATAATATTTTATCTCATCTCTATCTAAATACATATAAGCCTAAATATTATCTTATCATTTAATTACTTATCTATTAAATATATATCTACTCTATACATAAGTAATCATCAATTACCTTTCACCTCTTGATAGCTTTCCAAAGAAGCTGTGCGTCTACCTCATTAGTCGCATTCACAACATTTTCGTGAGTAGCTGGAGATATTTTAGCAATTATGATGGCGCAGAGCATCGTATTATTGTTGTCTTCAAGAGCTGGTTCTCCTTCTATCATATTTTCCTTCACACCGCCTAGCTTGAAGAGAGCGGTGATCCTCGTTCTCCAACTGGAGAAATTCTCCTCCGTCAGAGTCGGAATGGCTTCAATGGTCATTTTCAAGATGGTCGGATTAACGGCATCCATCTTGTCTCAATCGGCTTCTGGTTTTGAGTTTCGTCAAAGGTCGACAGCGTTTCCTGGTTTGACTGTTAATCGTGAAGAAATTTGACTTTATTTCCTATGAAACTGAAACCAGAACTGAAGAACAAAAAAATAAGAATTAGAAACAGCAACCAGTAAAGAGACAAATTTTTTAAGCAAAGAAGTAAGAAAGAAAGCATACCGCGGATATAAATGAGAAGAAATGACAGAGGACTTTTTTGGCAGAGGAATTGAAGGAGATGACAGTGAGAAGCTAAACAGCCGAAATAATGGAGAATAATAAAAAAGAAGAAATTAGTTCTTTCGACAACAAACACAAAGAAGAAAGAAAAAAGAATAGAATGAGATGAAGAAGAAGGAACAAACAATAAGGCAGACATATTCAAATTCAATACCGAGAATGAGAAAGGGGAGATGAAGGAAGGGAGAAAGCTCAATGTAGGAAGAAGAAAAAAAAGAAAATGAAGTCAAAATTAAGGTCGGATCAAGGGAAGAACATTGTCAGGCAATTACATTACTAGAATAATTATTCCTGTGATGAGCTTGAGGAGTTTTGTTGATGATCAATGATTATTGGTCGCAGGATAGTCTTGAGGAAGTTGAACCGGGCTATTTCTCGGTTGGTTGAGGAAGGATTGGAGTACTGATAGAGTGAAACCTCCTCATTTCAGGACTGGTATTAATCACCCACTACTTACCACTCACCACACTCAAAAAACTCAGTCAACTTATAGTAACAACCTTCTCACCCTAAAACACTCAGGTTAGTTACTCAGAGGCTGACAATCCTCCAAACCTGTCAGGGGGTTTGGGAGTCGAATCCCCACAAAATTTATTTAAAAAAATACCAACCCCCAAGGTAGTTGAGGGGCAATGCCCCAAAAACCAAGGGGTTTTGGGTGTTGGCTAACACAAAAGAGCCTGGATAGCCAGGAGGAATCTCCCGGCTGCTGATGGCACACCGTCAATGGCCAAGAGAAACCCTCCCAGCCATTGAGGATGTACAGTCTTGACAGCGGCCAACAGAGAACTGCTTGGCCGTTAAGCCTGATTGACCAACACCCCAGTCAACCTAACATTAAGAGCACCCTTGTAAGTCTACTCCGGGAATCCCTTGCCCTTCCTGCCCTTCTTTCATCCATCCATTCTGAGCCGGATAAGGATCACGTTGTCCAGCTCCTTCACCAGCTCCTCCTTACAATCATCAACTCAACCCCTCTCAATCTTGAGCTTTTCAAGCAGTTGTTGGACGCTGGCCAGCTTGAAAATTGGAGCTTGATTGACGAAATCTTGAAGTTTGTCAATCCTCTCCTGCTATACCTAGATTCAAGTAGGTCTGGCTACAAAGACTTCTTGGACACCAGCCTTGTACGATGATATTGCTGTTCTGAATTGGTCAACCTCAAGGTGTTCCATTGTTTTTTGTGAATAAAATTTGTAGCTTGTTTTGACATAGGTTTTTTGAAAGACAGGGATTTGGAGAAAAGCATGGAACACTATTGTGGGGGAACAAGCAAATTCAAATTGATACCATTGTAAAAGACCCGCATGGCAAAGTGGTACAGAATCTTCAAATGAATAAACCAAGCCTTGTGGCAGATCTTAGGGGAGGGCTGATCAAGATGAGGATGGGACCAAGGAACAAAGATGTGGTTGATCATGAGTAAGACAGCTTTAAGAGCACACACAGAATGAGTGAGTGAATGATGAAGAACCGTTGGATCAATGGCTTCATGATCATCCACCTCGCCAGGCTCTTCTGATAGACTAGACACCGCATTGAGGGTGTACAGTCTCAATGGTCAAGAGGTTCTCTCTTGGTTGTTGAATGTGTACACTCTCAACAGCCGAGAGTATTTCTCTCGGCCGTCAAGAGTGTACAGTTGCAGATGGCATAGACCAACCATGCCCCGCCCTCAAAATCCAAAATGGACAGGCGGGGCATATGCCTCAACACTAATTTTTATTACAATTCTGAACTCCTACAGATGTGTAGAGTTCAAAATTGTAACCGCTGAGGTTCTACTCAAGCGGTTCTTTTTTTATTTGTATGACAAGCATGTATTCGGACATGCCTGCCAAAAGCCATACTTAAACCCATAACTATGGGTTTTAACTATGGGTTTAAGTTAGGCTTATTCATGGCCTTATGCCTCTTAAAGCACCTGTAGAACCTATTTTGAGTGGTTATGCAATACTCTGAGGTAATATTTCAAAGTTATGTAGGCTCAAAAGGGCTGCAAAACCCTGTAGAGCTGGTCGCTACGCATCCGGATATCCGCTGTAAGACTCAAAAGTGGTTGTGAAACCCTTTTGCTGAATGGAGAAGGGGATGATGGAGTTGCAAGCTCTGCCCTTCTATGCTATCAGAACAACAAGACCACCAAGCTTAGCTTGGCAGTTATATTTATCGTGATAGAGGATAGTTCAAGATGAAGCTTCCGAGTGATGTGTATAAGGGTCTGAAGTTGTTAATGAGTGAAGATTATATTGATGGAGTTATTGTTCAAAGCTTTAATACCAAGGCTTGGAGCTCTGGGAGCCACTGTCTTCAACCAGTAATGGTATGTGAGGCAAGTTATGGCCACT